GCTTTTCTTCTTTGACTTTTGGAAGTGATGACCAATTAGATGAAGTTTCATTTTCATTTGCTGTTGATTAATCCATATAGCACTTTAATCACTGATTTTATTTCCGTCGATGTGCCAAAAAAAATGGAGTCACAGAACTTTGAACTCTTGATAAACGTGACCTTCGACACTGGATCAAAAGCTATTTCACGCATGCGCAGCTATTTCCCTGTTGCGATATGAGTAAGCCACTCCTGCTTTGGCGAAGTTTTCCTTCTCAACAATACGTATTCTCTGTTTTGCGGATCCAGAGAGTTGATGCCTTTATATGATAGGAGGGCGCGGAACAAATACCTACTTACCTTTGTTATCCACTAGGTGTTCCCGTCGTCTCACACTTATCACCCGGGTGAGGCATCCAGGAATAGCTGGTCACTGGTAAATGCTAACTGTAGCTGTTGTTGCCGTGTGCAAGTTCAAAGAATTTCTTGGGCCTATATGCGTTTAACGGGCTTCCAGCGAAGTTTCCTTCTTCCAAAATTTGCATGCGGTATTCTTTTCTTTCTATTCCATCATAAATTACAAAAGTGATTTATTATATATTCTTAAATTTTGAGAAATGCTTTAATTACGATTTGCTCATTTGAATACAGGCAAAATTAAGCATTGTTGTAAGTTTCGACAGCTTGGTAGAGATTTGAGAAGGAGAAGTTAATAATGCTATGGATTATATTACACAGTCATGTCCAAAATTATCTTCATATCAGATGAAATCACAGATTTTTCAGAAAATGTTAACTATAACACTGGGGAACAACAATTTCGTTATCTTAAGTCTGTCACTTATTTTTGACCAACTTTGGGCCTCGGAATACAAAATTAGCCTCAGTTTTTGTCTATCACGACAACGTTTTAAGCTGCACTCTCTTTGTGTCAAACTGATGCAGAATATCCCTATAACCCTTTGCGACACGCATATTTAAAATATATTTAAATCTTTAAAAAAATGCCTTAGAATAAGTCAGATGGATGGACTTACTTAAGTGCCTTTAAGGCTTGAAAAAAATTCTGCGCTTTTATTTTTTTACGGTGGAAGGTGGGATACCGTTTGTCCCACCATGCAACTAGCACATGTCTTATAGCATATTGGTGTATAGCAGGGAAAAAAAAATCCTATGTGGAATGAATAAACAAAATAAAGCGTGCATTCTAAAATATTCATAATAAACACACTAAAATGCATTTTGTACTTATTGCATATATGCATGACTTGTAAAATTTTGCATATAGTATATATTTAATATTTTTAAATTTTAGGAACAAAAGAAAATATTTTCTTGAATATTATTTTAAGATTAAAATTTGATACTCGTACATATGATACTAAATAAAATATTAAAATTGGCACTTGATTCAAAAACATTTATATATGATTAAAATTGAAAAAAAGTCATTTTTCATGAAACTTTGAAAAACATGTTGTTTCATTCTTTTGTAAGCATAGAGGCACTTCACATGTTTCACACATCCAAAATGTTCGTCGTTCTTCTTTCGATATGCTGCAATATGCACATCTTCTCCTGCTCGTTCTCTTTGGCGTTTTACTTACATTTTTTTAGTCTCTTTTCTGGTTGTACGAACGGGTTTTTAGTTTTTATTTGAACTGGGGATTTCAGTTTTCTTTTCAGCTCTTTCTTGCCTGCAAGTGCCATTAGACCTTCTGTAACTGAGAGAAGAAAATCTTTCATTGTTTTTACATCATGATCAGGTTCGCGAACAAACTTGAATAAATGTGTTTACTATACTCGCATCTAAAAAGTAAAAAAAAAAAAAAAAAACTTGCATCTAAAAAGTAAAAAAAAAAATCATGTGCCACCATTTCTTGCTTTTGCGGTCTATTTCATATAGTCCTTTCAGTTGATCAATCAGTCGACATATCCCATATTCTTATTGTATGAAATAATGCTGTTTGGGCACAGTACTTTTTTTTTTTTTTTTGTCTTTCCATCTCGTTCTTTTCTATTAATTTCTTTCATTTCAGTTGCCTTTTCCAAGCAAGACAGGATAGAAACGGATCTTTTATCCTTCCATTTTATGCAATAAATTGAATCATCGCTAACTGAAAAGTCTATATATTCTCTTGACATAAATTTGTCTTTTAAAATTTGGGTAGATACTTCCGATCCATATTTACAGTGCCACATGCATAGATGGGTCTGTGTCTTTAAAAAGCGAAACAAATTATAACTACTTCCCTTTCTTCTTCAGCAATAACTTCAACCTCAGTTATTCTCTCCTGGATTTCAATTTCATCTGAATCAGAACTGACATCTGAAGCATTTGAGTCGCAATCGGATGGCAATTCAGCAAAAAGATCCAAAGCTTCCTGAGTTGTTAATTTTTTTCTAGACATTTTAGCACATCAGAGCATACAACGGATGTAAAAGCGCGCGCAATCACGAAAAAAAGTAGATGCAAAAAAGAAAAGAAAAAATAATCGTGAGTGCTGCCATCTATTGAGCGGAAATTCAAGTGTGTGGTGGGACAAATTTTAACCCACTTATTTCAACTGCAAAATTAATGTTATAAAATATTGAATCCAATTAAGATTTTTGAAAATAAAATACCTTTGAATATTAAAAAGAATCATACATATCATAAATTGTATACCAAAATTTTTAAAATATTGAAAAATGCGAGATACATGGATATCACTCTTGTGATCCTATTTTGAATATTTTTTGCTTATAAACTTAAGCCCTGGTATAGTAGTAACATATACTGAGAAAAATAATAACTAAAATAGATTATTTTTAAAAGATTAGAAAATTTCTAACGGAAATTGCTAAGTGAGAAAATAAATATTAATTAGGTGGGACATATATTGACCCACCATGCCGCAAAGGGATAAAGGGAAAACTAAGCAAATATACTGTTCACAAAGAATAGTTTTATTCATACAGAAGCTATATATAGTTACTGCAAGTTAAATTTTGTTCATACAAACAATAAAGGTTTTTAACCGAACGATAAAATAAAAATTTCGCTTATGACTTTTTCTGGAAAGTTTAATCTGTTGACATTCTCGCTTGATGTTCCAACAATAGTCGTTCATATGTACATCCCATCTCTTTTAGTACCATATGCTTCCATGACCTTCACATCTTGGTAAAATCGCTCACCCTGTTCTTCACTGATTGCACCAAGAATTTTTGGAACGTATCCTAATGGCTAAGTCTGTGTATTTTCAAGAACATCTCTAGCAATGTTTTTGAATGCCAACCAAATATTTTTGTTGAAATTCTGTTGTTGCTACGATGAAAGGTTCATCTTTAAGGAGATGCCGAATCTGTGGACAATCAAACTCACCAACATTCATCTTTTCAAATGACAGGCGGGGAAATACCAAAATAGGATACTTGAAACAATCTCCTTCAATTGGCAAAGCTTATAAGGTATTTCACCAGCCTTCCTAGCATGCCTTCGTGGTGTAGTGGTTCTGCACGCTGGGCCGTATTCCAGAGGTCAGCGGTTCGATTCTTGGTGAAGGCGTTGGTAATTCTTCATCTTGCCTATTTCCAAAAATACCTAATGTCTGTACAGTGCCACCCGAACTGAAATGGTGTTGGATGATGATTCTCCTCACCCAGAATTTGGCGACTGTGTCCCCTAAAAACCCCAGTCGCCCTTTAAAAGGAAGAGTATATAAGGTATTTCTCCCGCCTTTCTAGTGTGTCTTCGTGGTGAAGTGGTTCTGCATGCTGAGCCGGTATTCCAGTGATCCTTGGTTCGATTCTCGGCGAAGTAGTTTGCTCATGTTTCATCTTGCCTGCTTCCAAAAATACCTAATGGCTCTACAGACTTTAAGAAATTGCTTCATGCGACCCAGTATTTTATCCACAGGTGGAAATATAATGTTATTTCTGTCGACAAGTGGCTGATATAGAATGTTTGGATCACAAGGTTTCAGGTCAGATCTTGGCGGTAATGCGACAGCACCCAATGATTATCAGGAGCTCTATTGTCCCCACATACACAAAAGATAGCGATACTTGGTATATCTACGTTGCTGGTTAAGGAGGAAGCAGCCTATTTTAAGGTCCAGACGACATGATCCGTTGGTGCGTGTGATATTGCAACAAATCAATCACTCTCTTTATTTCTTCATATTCTTCACGCAAAAAAACTGAATGGCCTGTTGGGGCTGCACCAAATGAATTTCCATTGTGGAGTAGGACATACTTCAATCTCTGCTTTGAGTTATCGATGAACAATCGCCATTGAATTGTGATATAGGTTGAAATTCCCAATTCTTCCATTAAACCATGTACATTATGGAAATACACAAATCCATCATCACTTAAAATATTGGAGAAATGCACTTTCTGTTTATCGAAAGTATGATAAATTATCTCCTTTTTGAAGCACGTTTTTCTCGTATAGTCTTGATGCTAACGGCTCTGAAGCGTTTTTGGATAGTCCCAAATCTCGTGCCCAAATAATTCAACTCATGCTGGTCAAATCTCTTGCTACTGGGATTTCAGCTGAGTGTACTACTGGGTTTATATCTGATAGTAAACTAAGATACTTTATTTTACATATTTTCTTATATCTTAACGTTTTTGCTATTCAAGAGTAACAATAGCTTGAGTGATCTTTGGGATCTTGCCAAATTATAGGTATAGAAAATGGAAATTTATAAAGTGTTCCCTTCATCCACATCCGCAAACTCTAGACACACTGCTTGTACACTTTATGAGGGGTCCAAGATTTATCTTTATCACCAATTTTCACTTTAAAATAGTCAGAATAGGCTTGCCTGATAAACATACTGGTGTTTGACCTTTCACTGGGAATGGTAAAACTCCCATATATATAACAAAAAGAATCGGGATTGTTTAAAACACTTATACGGAACCTTCAACAAACGCTTCTAAGATTTCAAGAGGATTTCACTTGGTGCACAGTTTGTCAAATCGCTTTTTATAGATATTAATGCTGAAAAGTTCTCTACTTGTGTCATGGAGCATTTTGATTTTCAAGAAGACCATACTGCATTAGAATTGGAACTGACTGATTTTCAAAACTATTTACTTTCCATATCGCTTTCTTCAAGCTCTGAAAATATTTGGCCTCCTGTTCCTAAAGAAAAATACCCAATTTTGGTCCACGTTTGCCTCAAAGTGAAAGCAATGTTCAGCTCTACATACCAGTGTGAAGTTTCTTTTTCTAGTATAAAATTTATTAAAAATAAGTACAGAAACAGATCCACTGATGAACACTTGGACAATTGTATTCGAATGACAGCCACTACCTACTCTTTCAACACTAAAAAACTTGTTGATGATTAAAAAAAAGAGTTCCCATTAAATTTCATAAGTCCGTTAAAAAATCTGTTATTATATTTGTTATTTATTACTAACTGCACTTCAGTTTCTTTCTTAGGTACAATTCAATTTCAGTTTCTTTTTGTTATATACAATTTAACTAAAATTGATTTCATATTTACTAGAAGTTTAAGTTTATAGGCAATAACAAAGGTAAGATATCTTTAAAAAATTTGGCATTTCTTTAGGTTGGTAGCTCATAGTAGGACTTAAAAACGGTACGGTAGCTCAGAAGCTTCATAAGTTTGGCGACCACTACACAAAACTATCCTTCTCCAATGCAATCAAAAAATTCCACTGCTGAAATGTAATGAACGATATGGAGTATACTGAAATATATGAGGAGACTGATATTAAGTATTATAAACAATGCTCAAGAAAATATTGGAGCACAAGTACATGAATTGAATGCACGTAGAATGCATAAAGGCCCGTCCACACGAGTACGCTCGAAACGTAGCTGACGAACGCGCTTTACGTTACCAGCGTAAAAGCGTCCAAACGAGTACGCTTGCGAAGAGTGCGTTTAACCAATAGAATTATTTTGCGCAAAAATCACGTGACGCTGTAATATAGCGTCAACAGAGCTGTTATCAGGGTCTATGTTCCTTCTAACCTTCTTCGGGAACATACAAGGACCTGAGTCGGAACAGAGAGCTTACTAAAGCTATGTTCACTAATTGTGGTAAGTAGACAGTATACAGACGAAGGGTATACAAAACCCTTTATTTTTCTCTATATACAATAACTTCCGTACTTCGGAATACACTGACCCGCCACTTGGGGTCTAACGTAAAAGTATAAAAATAAAACTAAACTCTAATTTAACTTTAGAATAATAAACGTGGAAGATTGGCCTTATATAACAGGAAGCGTATGTAGCACAGAGACTGTGAACACTACAATACGTTTAAATTTATCAAGAGGATTAAAACCTCTGGCCTGGAAGGCAAACAGCAACTGCGTAACTTCTAAGGTAAGCGGCCTGCTTCGACTCACTGCTTCCTCTCTCTCGCTTGGCAAAAAGGCCACAACTTAAATACTTGGCGTTCGCCAGACAAACTTTGCATAAAAACCTTCAACGCTTATAATTCTGGCCGGAAGTAGAAAATAAGAAGTGATAGTAAAGATTTAAAATAAAATAAACGTTAGTAAAACTTAAGATCCTTACATACTTCCCGCCAGAGTTAATTAGTTTGAAACTGAGGTCTAAAACGACCTTGTTGAAAACTTTTAGCTCTAGAATCTAACGCGAGGCCAATCTTTTACAAACATACTTCGCTAGAAACTAGAAATTTAAAAGAAAGAAATTTGTTTTTACAAAAGCAGCTCCCAGGATATACAACAATTTTTTTTCATCTGTACTGCATCTAAACAGGAGCTTTTATTCAATTCTGGTTCCTTCCAGAGATCTGGAAGGAAAACTAGTTTAATGAAATGTTACACAATGAAATGGCAAGTAACATATACAATTATAGTACTTCTCTTAACATTCTTATTTCATTCATGACTATTTTAATTATCTCTCCCCGTGCTCTCTGACATGTGTTGTAAAAGAACACCAAACACGAATGTGTTTCTGTCTACGTGTTCCACACTTCCTCCTACAATCGAAACACTAACGTGTTAAAATTCAACATAACCAAGACCTCTTAACACACCCTAATTTCAACTCTAAACCCTGAGGTACTATTCTGAAAAGTGGCTAACTCTAAAGTGTAGCGTCAGAGAGCCTAACTACATCATTCAACCTTTAACACATATTCGCCATGATTTAGTCTTTTTACAGTCACACGAATAAAAAATTTTTAACATTACTTTCACTTTTACCATATCACGGTATTTCTTAACATTTAAAATAACAGTTCACATTGTATATAAGAACATATCAACATGCCGTTAATTTTACACATTTGAAAACATACATTAGTAGTACATTGTTAACTTCTATTCTTTTCAAAGCAAGTGCCAATTCTTTCTACATTGAAATAACTACATTTCAAAAAGTCTTTCAGACTAAAACTTCTTTCTTGCTAGAATGTTTTAAATAAAATTTATACAATAACTTTTTACAATATTTAAGTCTTTACACAACGCTATTATACATCAACTTTAGTTTTACGCGCGCGAGTAATTGAAAAACATAATACGAAAAATCGGTCAACAACTCATTTCTCGCCCTTTTGGCGATAAAGGTAGACCTCGCATGAGGTAAAACTTCTTGAAATCTGCCACTTGCAGTAAGAATGAAAGATTAACTTAAGTTTGCAAAGTAACATAAAATTTTACTTATCTTTGTAATATTCGGACATCCTTTTCTGGGCCCAGTCTTTAAAGGTACTGCAGATAGTAGTTTGATTTATCCTCCTTCTTGTACGGGCTCGCCCTTCAGTGCTTTCCTCTGGAAGCTTCCTTTTTTCACCAGTTCGGCCACCCTTGAATACCTTCTTTTCCTCCTCTGCTTGTGGTCTTGGCCGTTTGATGGCAGCTGGTCTTGGCGGAACCGGGAAACTTCTGTCGTGTTCCTGCTTGGACCTCGTTGCTGGCCGTTCAAATTTTCCTTGTAACTTTTCCTCCGCCGCTGATGGCCCTTCCGCAGTTCGGCGACATTTGCTGCGGAGAGTCCTGTCGGATGAGTAGATCTTCCGTTTTAGAGCCGGGTTATAGTTGCCGTCATTTCTCCTGGTTCTCTTCACATACGTCGTCCTTCTCCCTTCTTCATTCTGGGGGTGTTCGTGAACTCTCTTTTCTGGACGGTGGAACGGCTTCTTTTTCTTGTTACCTTCAATTTTTCCGCGGGGCAATTTTTTTCTTTTCACTTGCTTCCTGTCCTCATTGGCTTGCCCTTGTACTTGTCGTTTTTCCACCTCTGGAGCTTGTGCCTGCGGTGTCTGCCGTGCCGGATCCTGCAAAAGATCTGAAAAGATTTGCATTTTATTACGATCGAAGTAGGGCTTTGATTTGATCAATGTTTGCGGAACAGGTTTCACCATTTCTGGCTTTTAACACTACAACAGCGTGAGTTATTTTTTCTATAACATATGGTCCTTCAAATCGTGGAAAAAATTTTGGCAGTTTTATCTTCTGGTGCTGAAGAAAGTGAATGCTTAATTTTTAAAACTTCATCCCCTACTTTATAAGTTACTCCCCGTCGTTTCAAATCATAATATAAGCTTCTGTTTTCTCTTGTGCTACTTCCGTATTCTTTTTTTGCTTCTTTTAATTAGTTTTTCTATATCACCCATTTTAAATTCTGGGGCTCTTTGTTGCACATAAAATAATTTATCTAACGGCGTTATAATCTTTCTGCCTAGAAATAACTCAGCAGGAGTTTTGCCCGTTGTATCATGTTTTGCGGTCCTAAGGGCGAAAGCAAATTCATTGACATAGTTATCCCAGCTTTTATGAAAATTTTTAACATAACTACGGATAATTTTCACTATATTTCTATTGACCCGTTCCGCTATATTTGATTGCGGCCGATACGGGACCATTTTTAAATGACGTATGCCCAGTTTTTGGCACATGTCTTCAAATATATTACTTACAAATTGAGGACCATTATCCGATATAACTTTTAGGGGCGCCCCGTATTTTAAAATATATTTATTTAAAATAGAATCAGTAACTAATTTCGCGGAGGCTCGTTTTAAGGGAACAATTTCGGTCCACTTTACTAAAATGATCAACCATAACAAGGAGATAGCGACTTTTATTTAACTGACTTTTTGGGAAAGGGCCCAATAAATCGATGCCAATTATTTCATTTGGAAATTCGGATTTAATACTATTTAGAAACCCGGCCGGGCGGAAATTAATATAATTAACTGCTTGACATGTTGGGCAGGACTGGACATACGCCCTTGTTAACTTTTGCAGTTCAGGAAAGTAGACTGCCTCGCGTACGCGTTGGATAGTTTTTCGAATACCAGCATGAGAAGCTAAAGGGCTGTCATGGAGCTCCTGCAGGATATTTAATCTAAGACTAGCTGGGATAACAGGTCGAAATTCGTTGTTGGAATTCGTAGTTTTTGTATAAATAATAGACCATCTATTAGTTCGTAATGGGCCGCCCTATTTCTTATCGCCACAATATCTTGGTGGCTAAAATTTTCAGGATCCTTTAAATACTCATAAATGCTTCCAAACTCAGGATCCTTACCCAGTTCGGTTATTACAGTTTCTCGGGAATTTATTGTACATGCTGTGAGCATTGCCACCTTTACGGTATTACCTTGTTCATCTATTTTAATTCTTGATAGGGCATCTGCTACGATATTTTCCTTTCCGGGGGTATGCTTGATTACCAGATTATATTCTTGCAGCTTGAGTGCCCATCTTATTAACCTTGGGGATAAATTTTTCCCTGAGTACAATCTAGTTACCGCCGCATGATCAGAGTACACTGTTATCGGCGCCTTTCCAAAATAGACTCGGAACTTTTGCACTGCTAACAGAACTGCAAGTGCCTCTCTCTCGGTCGCGGAATAGTTTCTTTGTGTTTGATTTAAAGTTCGGCTAAAAAATGCCACGGGCTGCTGATTTTGCGAAAGTACCGCTCCTACCGCATAATCCGAAGCATCCGCTGAAATTTCTAAATTCTCATCCTTTTCAGGAAATTTCAACACAGGGGCTTGCGTTAATGCTTGTTTTAATTTTTCGAAAGCACTATTGGCTTCGGCCGTCCACGAGAATCTTGCCTTTTTCCTTTTTAATTTTAACAATGGCTCAGCGATAGCTGCAAAATCTTTTATAAAGGACCTATAATATGAACAAAGTCCTAGAAAAGAAGAGAGCTTCTTTGCCGTGTTTGGAGTCGGATACTTTTGTACAGCGATTATTTTTGATTCGTCTGTCTCGATCCCTTTTTGAGATATTTTGTAACCTAAATATTTTAATTCAGGGGCTGCAAATTTGCACTTTTCGACATTAACTTTTAGACCGGCCTCATTTTAATAAAGAAA